TGTTTCTCACCTTCAGCGGTGAAACCTGACTCGTCTGAGGGCTGTGGAGGAGACAGGAAGCGGCTGGGTATGTTTGTGGGGTCACATGCCGACATTCCCCCCCCCCCCCCCCCACCCTCTTTTCTCTTCATTAGCACCGGTGATGAGCGGCGGGTCAGCAGAGGTCAGCGGGTCACGCCAGTTCAGGAGCCAACTCTCACTCACCTCTGTTTTCACTGCTGAGGATGCAGAGTTCACTCACTGACAACCCAACATTTGATTATTACTCAGTTAAGGAAAAAAGGAAAGAGGAAGAATGAGATTGCACTTACAATTAATACGAAAGTAGTAAATGTTTATCCTTTTAGTAATTCCTCAAACTACAGAACAGGGAAAGGGCCACATATAACTTTATTTTGGAGATCTGACGAAGTTCTGAGAAAGAAAGTCAGCTTTCTGAGATCAGAGACAGTACTCTGACTTTTTTCTCAAAATACGGAGATTTTCAGGAAAATAATATTATAATTTGTTTGAATTTTGACTTTTTTCTTAGAGTTCTGACTGAAAAAAAAATCTTTTGAAAAAAAAAAAATAAATACAAAACCTTTTCCCAAGATATACATTTAAAGTGAAAAGGGAACACAATGTGGAACAATGTACATCTGGACAGTTTGAGGCTTATAGAGATAGAGAGGTCTTGCATTATTCAAACACAGTGGTCTGTTTGATGAAACCCTCTAGTGACAGGGTTTAGAAAAAACAAAAGCAACTGCAGGGATTTTATGCCAAATCTATACAATCTCCATCTTTAATGTGAACACTCTCAAACACTGGACAACTTCAAAGTAGCTAACTCAATTCTAGGGGCAGATTGCATTTAAATTACGCATGACACTTAAAGCTCAATTTCCTAATCATTTTGGGACTTATTTAAGGGGGTTTATATAATCCTTTAAAAATGTGCCTTAGTAAACGGAATTTAAGAGATGTTATGACCGTTGCTTAGTGTGATACCTGTTATTGTCTCAAAGGTTGGCCTCTAGTCAGATAGTACAAATAATGGCAGAGGAGAAAAATAACTAATTGGTCAAAGGAGGAAACGATTACTCTTCTGGAGGAATACAATAAAATAAATCACAAAGCCCTACTAAGAGTAAGTAAATAACAACAAAATAAACAATGTGGGAGGAAATTGCAATGAATGACTCAGCACATTGTTGACCTGTGGACATGAAGGATCTCACCTATTACTGATGGGAAACATCCCGGAGCATAAAGTCATAGTCATCATTTTAGCAAAGTGGCTGGAAGAGCACAGCTGCATAGAGTAGTGATCCAACTCTAGACACTCGGAACATCCTGAATTGACTGCATGTCCAATTTTAAAATAGTTTTCTCATCATTAGCCGTATTGGGCTGTCCTATTCTCGGAATTCACTAATTTCCTGTTTTTACTGTCATTCACTTGGCCATGTTGCGGTTAAAATAGAGCCAAAGGAGCTACCTTAAGTTTTATGTCACATTTTGATTGATAAGGTCTTATGTGCGGTTTAGCTTCAAGTGCAACTAGTTTTATTTTAAGGAAACCTTAACTCCAGTTTTAAGGACAGTGTTAACTTTGATCCTTTATTTTAGCAAATCTGTGCTGTTTACCAAATCAATTGGTACTCCTTAAACCCATCTCCATGACAACTGAGAAATGTCAATCCACTAATACAGACCACGCAATACAAACATCAATAGGCTGATGATGAAGAGAATCAAAAAACTATTTAGTGGATTTAGTGTGGCATAAAGTAAAGGTCACTATTTAACTCTACAATAAAACAATAATCACATTTGGTAAATGTTAACATACATTTTTAAATATCTACAAATGAAAGATTTTTTAAAATTACTTCTGTTGGGTTGAGGGGAATTTTCTTCATTATCTAACCTTATCTAATCTTTATTATGTTTTAGCGTAATAGATACAGAAGGAATAGCATTCAGGAGAATTTCAGTGCCTCTCTTGACTTTGTCCTAAATGTCCTCCAGATCTGGATGAGTGGACAGGTTGCTCTTTCACTACACTAGTACATTATGTTGAATGCTTTGCTCTGGTCTTTAGGATCAAGAAAAGAACGGTCAGCAGCGTGTGTGTGAACTTTGATTCTTCTGACCCCCGGGCTGCCAGGGACCCGGCCTCAGAGTTCGGTTTGCTGCTGCTCCTCGTGTGTCCTCGCCCTTCTGATGTGCACCAGACTAAACACATACAGTAGCAAGACAAGCAAACGCTGCAGGGCTTTTCAAACACACCATGGATCAGAGGTCCCAACAGGACTGGTGGAACATCCATTGGAAAGAACAGCAAAGCATTGCCATTGTTTCCAAATCCATGCTCGGAATAAAGTAAATTGAGGGAAACTGAAGGTGAAATACTGACATTTTGTCAGCTTCAAAGTGACTTGTGTAAATAACCTGCCAAAGCGAATTTTGGTCTAACGCTTTCCGTGGACTTTACTTGACTGGGCCACCTCTAGGCCTCCTCGGTTTGTGTTTATGATCCACAACTGATCTAATGACTCATCTGTAATTAGTGTTATTTGTCTTCCGAGCAGCTGGCCAAAGCTTCATCGCCATTTCTAGTCAGTGGAACCTGCAATTAAAAAGCGCGGTGATGAGCAGCTGGGAGGATGAGGTATTTGTTACGCATACGGGTGGCTGAGTAATGACAGAGCTAACTGACAACGAGCGATGCTGCAAGAAGACGAGCAAGAGCGGTCGCACACCACAATGTCTTCTGTGGGGAAAATAGATAGTGGGGTTTTCCCAGATTTCTTTGACATTTCAGCCCTTTGTTGTGGCGGCCATCTTGCAGGCTGGCCTTTGGGAAGGGGTCAGGGCTCCTCCTTCTTTTTGACTCGACCTCAGCGAGGGGTCGGTGTCGTTACACAGCGAAGATGACGACCGTGTCGATGCCTACGGTGAGCCAAAGGTGAGACGGGCAGTCTGTATCATGAGCGCCGTTGTTAGAGCCACCAAGGAACCATAAAAAGGTCACATTCCCAGCTTTAAAGTCACGGGCCCACTTCTGGGAGCCAGCGGAGCTCCTTTAAGCATCTGCATGATTGTAAATATTGTCCCTCATGTCTCTTGTTGACCCTTACGCTCTCAGATTTCTCGTTTGCTTCAGACACGTTGAGATGTCTCAAGCCTCTGTGATTTACAGAGATCGTGACGAGACCACAAAGCCGGGGGTTATTTACACTGTTACACTCTGAATTAAGAGTCTGACAGGAAAGCAATGGAATGCGTGTTTATTTGAGGGGAGTAAGGCGGGATTGGTTTTGTTTGCTTTTACACTGTTGTCCCAGCGTTAGTTCCATCACCAACAGGGATTCACTGCTAGTTATTTGGACACTAGCTCCGACCCTTGACCTTTCCAAATGGGTGGCTAATCCCAGTCAAAGCTACTGTGGGGCCTCTTGTTGCTATTCCTGCAATGCTGTTTTGGGAAGTGATACTGCATGTGAAGGAGTTGTATAAAGACTTTTGCAACTGCAGATAGAGCCTCAAGGAAGCGGATACATTTCCTTGAGTTTAATCCTGTCAGTTGAGTCTGAAGACTTAAGGGTATAAACATTTGAACAAAAAATAAATATAAAAAAAATAAAAATAAACTTTAGTAGGTTTCTTTTTTGTAACTCTTTTAGTTTTAAATCTGATGTTTATGAGGTGCTTGGTTTTTGCAAAAGTCCCTGTAAATATCCCAAACTTTACAATCAAATTAGTCTACCATTTTCTAGACTAAACGCGGGTATAACAAACTAGAATACAATGTTACCCAAAAGTTAAAATCGAACAATATTAAATGTCCCTTTTTCTGCGGATTGCTAATTGCTAGTGGAGCCTCGCAGATGGCCCGCGTCCATTCACGATGTCTCGCTGTCTCGCAGACCCCACGCAACAAGCAGGAAATGAACCCAGCTCACACTGTCCGCTCCTCGCAGCAGTGAGCAGCGCAACGTCCCGCCAACACGGCACCCAGACCCCACGCAGCATTCTCATCTGTTTGTCATTACTGGTGTCATTTTCTGGTTGCTAACGCCATTGTAACATAATCACTGATGTTCCGCTGCAACGGTGGTAGACCATAGTGGTAGTCTCATCAGAACAGAGTGGGCGAGCTGACCAATCAGAGCACAGTGGGCTCATAGGGAGGGGGGGGGGAGGCAGGAGCTCCAACAAGCCGTTTAGGACAGAGTGAATACACATACTTTACAGAGATGCTGTATGAGAAACCAATGTGAGTTTGGAAAATTGCACAATTTAAATCTATTCTAGTAGACCTCAACAATGGAATTATGATTGTAGGGACGGGTGGCGCAGTGGTCTGTGCATCTGATCAAGGGGGGGTGCTGGGGAACTCCAGTTCGAAACCCGCTCCTGCCGCCACTGCGTCAGGCTGTCCTTGGGCAAGACACTTCACCCGGATTTGCTCCTGTGGGTATTGTCCACAGTACATGTATGATACTAATGTGTACTTGTAAAAGCGCCTCGATGACCTCGAGGCGTGAAGATGGACGGTGTGGCGCAGTGCGCTGTGCAATGATTATCAGATCAAGGGGCGAAACCCGCCGCTGCTGCGTCTGTAAAGCCGTTGTGTCCTTGGGCAAGACACTTCACCTGAACTTGCTCCTGTGGGTATTGTCCACAGTACATGACCACCGTATGATATGTGTAATGTGTATTTGTAAAGCGCTTTGAGCATCTGGAAAAGCGCTATAATAAATGTAAGGAATTATTATGATCAGTAGAAATGGCCATGACATGGGACCTTTAAGGTGGTGGATCCTCAGTGTGAAGGTGCAAATGGATATGAAGTGCGTAGGGGTCAGTTTGGAATTGGGCCTTTGGCTCTGCTGAATCAATTGTCATCTTCATTTGCTGCCATTTCTGACACGTTTGCATCACAGTAAATAATCCTTTTTCCTGCAATCAAAGCCAGCAACCAACACTATTAACATAAAAAACAGACATTGCAGTTTTCCAAAACAATACTTTATATCGTAGATGTCAAAGACAACATGTTAGAGCAAAGGTTCCCGAGAAAATAATGTACTATTTCTGTAACAATGGTGGAACAAGTCAAAAACATATCTGATAAAAAAAAAAGAATATGCATTTTATACATATGTAAACCTAGAACTGTTTGTTTTAACCACAGTGGTCATAGCAATAACTGGCGTATTATTTAGTGGAATGGACAACCGTAACAATGACCAGGCACCTGGATGGAGCCCTTTGATAAAAGTCCAGATGTGACAAAGAACAAAACATGTCTTCCCAAGAGTCCACCAAAGTCACATCCTGCCTGGTTTATAATAAAAAAAAGTGTCCACTCTGTCGTCGTGGTTTACAAAGCGTCCCCCCCAAAACAATTTGTTTTTCTACATAAATACAATAAAATCTAACATCTGTGTTACAAGTGCTAGATACTTTTTTTTTTTCTTTTGTAAAATGTTAAACAGAAGTCTTTCATGTTTCCATATCCTACGGGTAAAAGCACAACATGGAAAGCACCCAAACTCCTCCCCGGCGTAAAGAAGAAAGCAGTAAAAGAGGCGGTTTGGATACAGTGAAAGTACTAATGTCCTTCAGTGCTCGATCTCTTGTGCTGATATGCGGAATGGGACAGACAGAAAGACAGGTGGGTGGGGGGGCATGCGGACGTTAGGATCATGCAGAGAGAAAGGAGGACTGAAGTCAGAACTATGAGGGTTCAAACAGAAAGACATGACCCCTCCTAATAAATGGAAATTATAGCATAATGGAATGTTTTCTCTTTGTTACTGGACATTGTGTTAAGACAAGCAGTGAGGACAGACGGTGCTAGCTTTGGCTTCTTTTGAGAAACCAAAGCAGAAACTCTGACGGGCACTGCTGAGCAACGCTTCTGGGAAAGTTCTGGGCTGGGTTACAGAAAAAAAAGCCTCGACCAAACTGTTTACAGGAGGTGAGATGTCAGCGTGTCTAATGCAGGTGAGATTCTGTAAAGCATGACTTGCGCATTGTCATAATCCAACCACAAATATGTCTATCGGCAAAGATGTTTGACGTTAACATGAGAAAAGTCATAGAAATAAATCTTTCAAAAATACGTTTTTGGGGAGCTGACTGATTCAAAGGGATCAGACAGAAAAATCACATCCATGGAAAGGAGTTAAGACCACTAAATAATTATAAACTGCTTGCATCCTTGCTGTACTTAGTGTTAATCCTACTTTTTGTCCATTTCCATTGTTTCCTGGTACATTTGCAAAGTAGTAGATCGATCATACAAGCAGGAATACAACCGTCTGAACTTTGGCCTGTCTGGTCATCTGCAGAAGTCATGGAAACTAATGTAGTTGATGTGATTTAAGAGCATTACTCTGCCAGTAGAGGTCATATTCAATCAGTAAATGAATGATGAACAAACATTCAATTAACTATTTGGAAGTCTGATTGCGGTTTTAGAAGATGTAAATCAGCTTATGACAATGTAATGTAAACATATATATATATATATATATATATATATACATACATATACACACGTTTCAGATGTTCCTGTTTGACAAAGACATTGTTAAAAATGTAGGATTTAATTTAGGGTTCATAGCGGTAATCCAATTTATCCACCCATATAATGTTGTCTTGTATTTTTTGTTCTCGTTAGTGGATGGATTTGCAAAGAAGGAGAAACTACTTTTTTGAGATATGTTGAATCCAGATTGAGAATTTTCTCTCACATTTCTTAAAGTTACAGAAACTTTAAAAGGTAGCTCTACAATGGTATCTAGACACATCAAAAGGTGGAAAAGCAGGAACATGTGCCTGGATGTGAGGCTGAGCGGAGGGCAATGGCACCCTACTGTAACAGCTCTCTGGTACCAATGGGATGGATAAAGCCACATACTCGTCATCAGTGTGAAAAGACAAAAAGACAACCAGAAAAATGCTTATCAACACGTAACCAAGGACAGTCAGCGGTGCCTTCAGGTACACCCTACAAAAGGGTCGACTGTAAGTACTGTTTTTCAATACCAACTTCAAAAACAAGATCATAGTATTTCAGTATGTATAGATATAATATATAATATACTTATTTCTTTTATATATAAATCTACTATGAACAGACAGTAAATACACAATTGTCGATCATCATACAAAGTAGAAACATTTGCATCCCAACCCTCCCGCAAAACCCCAGAAAACAGTCATGTGATGTCCGCTAAAAACAGAGTCTGGATCTTCACATGCGTGAAGTATGTCAGCTTTACAATGTAACAGAGACAGAGGGAAAAAAAGAATAAAAGGAGTCCAATGAAAGGACAACAAAAGTGAGAGGAAAGAGAATCAACCAAAGTAGTCATTGATAAATGTGTGTGGCAGGAATACTCAGATAGATGTCCTATGTACAGTAAACAACAGTAAACGCAACAGCACTGTGTCTGTTCGCTGAAAAAACACATGAAAAATGATTAGTTTGTAGATGGATAAAGGTGGGAGACGGCAGTATCCCAGGGGATAAACACAAGTTGGAGGAATGGCTACAGACAGGAAGTCCACTTCTGCACACTGGGATTAGGTTACAGTGTAATTTGGGCAAAAATGGAAAACCAAATGTAGCTATCCAGCAGCAGTGATAGTCGGTATAGAACCCAATATTATTAAGCTTTAAGTATAAGGAAACTAGCCAATATTTTATTTATTTTCTTAAGTATTAAGGTGTTTGTAACGGATTTGTGATGCAGATGTGATTAAGCGTTCAGATGCAGGAGGAGGAAGATTCAGCAAAGTTGTTGGAAACCCATTATGCATGGGTTAATCCCACCAGCCGGGTCATTGCTCAAGAGAAAAGGACGATAAATAAATTAAAAAAATAAAGAGCATGTGTATCCACTCGAATATTTAAAAAAGCAGTTTGTGCTTCACTGTGTATGAACATATGTACACACCTGCCTCATAGTACCTGACATGTGGGCAGCAGATGTTGCTTAACAAGGGACTGCAGATGTTAAACCAGCTGTGGGAGCTCATGCAGGGCTGGAACACCCCCCTGGAAAATCCCAGGTGGTTTGGTCATTGTTACCACGGAGACACCGTTGTCTTAAAGAGAGGGATGGTTCAACAAATTGGCCCATATGAGAATAATTCCTCAATTTCCCTCATTCATCTCAGAAACGAGAAACTGGTTATTATGTAAAAAAAGTGGTTTGACTCAACAGAGAAAGTCTATTAGGTTTACTGTTGTGTATCTACTACATACAGTATACTTAGACTTAAAGTCCTGTTGCTTTAGTGCAGTACATTGTGATTAAGATGTACCTATCCTTTCTGGCCATTGGCAGGAGACTCTAATGCCGCTCATGGCGCGTCACTTGGGTCCACATTCACATCCCTACACCTCCCGACATTAGACTGAATCAGCTGCGATGTAAGAAAGGTGAAAAAGTTGATTGATGCAACATGTATGCTGATCCACAGACAGCGTGGTTCCCTAAACATGACATTCCCCTACAACGAAACTGCATTGTCTAATACGTTTTATGTGACACTTGTTTTCCCCAGGTTTTTTTTAAACGTGTTATAAATATGTTTCTTAAGGAAGTCAGCAGAAGTCTGCCTTTGGAGGAAGTATTAATGGATAAATGTGTCACAGAACTTTGATCCAAGAGGCCCAGAGTTCGGGTCCTCTGTGAAACCAGAGTCAAAGTGGACTTTTTTTGTTACTAACGTCCTTCACTTAATTATCCAACTAACTTACTTTTTCAAAGCCAAACCATGATTTTTGTACCCAACAGAACAGTTTTGTTACCTAAATTTAACCGAGTAGAAGTTTAGCTTGAATGACACAAGATTGTCTGAGGAAGCCCTTCAAGCTGTTTACTCAGGTTTCTGATACATAGTCCTACTAACTTCCTCTAAGTGAACCACCTCCAACTTGTGGCGGAGAACTCCCTTCTACAATGCCATCATTCAAATGAAGGCAATAAAGGAAAGATGAATGCAAAGGGAGAGACAGTAGGCTGCAGGGAAATATAGGTAAACATGCCAAGGTCTATGTGCCAACAACATGCAGGCATCGGATGTCTTGCCAAGATAGAAAAGTTTAAGGAGTTGGGGAGAAGACAGGTCTTTTTCCCAAACCTGTTATTTAAGGCAAAGCTCTTTCAAGAAAAAATCCACCAGGTTTGAAAAAAAAGGCACAAACGTCTTTCACTGTCAGTCATTTGAATCGCCGACATTTTCCATATGTTATCTTCGACCCTTCAGGGAAAATGGCAAAAAATGTGAACACTTTGTCCCAATTATCCGGATATCTTAAAAGAGCAGGAATGATCCATCCGTAGAGCAGAGTCACAATCATTAGCTCTGGTGGTTTTTCAATGAAAGTGTGACGATAAAGCACAGAAAAAACAGAACAATAGGAAAAGTAGACAACGACGTGTATGGGTCCGACTGGCATTCAAAAAGTACATCTTGTGTAGTGTTTTAAAAGCACTGGCACTCGAGGTTGTCATTGTGGGATGGCTGAGTCAATCCTCTTAAATCCAAGAGACGACGCATTTATGCTGATCAGTCTGTGCACTGCTGATCAGCGAATGCATCGCTCATCTTCAGTGTTCCGTTTCCATTGAGTGCCACTGCTAGTTCTCTCTCATAAAAAGATGCCATCTTGGTGTGGCAGGGGGGAGACATAGGCGTGGCATTTCAATTGACAGGATGACGACACTGTCAAAGATAAAGACTGGTGTGAGTGGTCAAAGGCTAGGGATTTTTCTTTACATTACAGCGTCCTCTTCCATTGGTTCCTCTTCAGCCCTGGGAAAAAGATAAAATAGACAGTGTAATGAAGAGATTTGCTTACAGTACCATGACTGTATATTTTAAAGGAGTGTAAATGCTATTTAAAATAATACAAAATACATTAACTACAGTGAAAAGAAAGGTAGTTAGGGGCTATTTGTTGTCAAACGGACACTTAATGCAACACACGTAACACTTCAAAAGTTGACAGTCCGTGTTACCAACATTTATGTGTTTTCAAATCTAAAGCACACAACATTTCTCACTTTTTTCTGTCATTGTTTTACATTAAGCATTTGTCATATGATTTATTTGCTTTCCTGACGAGTTAGATAAAAAGATATTCATCACTGTAGCGCAGGGGTCGGCAACCCCTGGCACGCGTGCCACCATTGGCACGCGGGATCGGCAACCAGTGGCACACTAGGAATAAGTGTGCACAAATATTTAAACTGTATTTTCGGATCCTGAACGAGACTGCCGGCAGAGCGCGTCTCCCCCTGCAGAAGGAAGCCATGCACGCAACGCAGCGCAGAAGGATAACTTCTAGGCCCCGCTCTCTTTAACTCCAGTCGACCTTCTGCTGCTTTCCTCCATGATGGTGAAACGATCAGGGGTGTAGCGCACTTCACACATTGCAGTATAAGGAGCTGTACATGCCGCAGTTTTTGCGTGGCTGTGTCTTTAGTTGAAAGCCCAGTGGCGATATGCTCATCTGTCATCGAAAATAATATGCTACACAGGGGCAGACTGGCCAACTATGTGTTCTGGAGAATCATAGTACGTCCGGCCGTCAGCGAACCGAGCCGGTCGCCAGCAGGCCGTTGACCACCGGGGCTCAGTTCGCTGACGGCCGGCACCGCCCTTTATTTATTTAAATGTGTTTAAACGGCATCATGTAAGTTGCGCTGACAGGCGACAGAGGTCCACAGCTTCCCCGCAGCGAGGCTCCCCCGCCCTCCAGTTGACAGTTCACGAGCCCCCCCCTCCCGTTGACAGGTAACGAGCGTCAAGCTCCACCCCCCCCGTTTACAGTTCACGAACATCGGCACACTAATCAAATGTTATTTTTTAAATGGCACTTCATATCAAAAAGGTTGTCGACCCCTGCTGTAGCGTATACATTTAGATAGCAGCTTGTTAGCTTAGCACACAAAACAACATCCCTTGTCAATATACAACATCTGAGAGCACCTCTTTATCTCTCTGATTAGCACTGAACTAAATATCTATCTCACAGCAGGAAAGAGATGTGCTTATTTAAAAAAGGTTGAATGACTCCTTCAAACTTGAACTAAGGATCACCAGTGGTTGGGAACAACTTGAGATGGATAAGACCGTATACCTCTTTCCGATGTGTTTGTTGGCGACAGACAGTGAGGCCATAGCTGAGACGGTCTCTGCCTCGTCTGCATCACACCGAAGGGCTTCGCTCAGAGAGCAACCGAGTGTCGAGGCGGAGCGCAGCAGTGAGCGCCAGTATTTACCTACAAAAGACCGGAACAAGGTAAAACTCGGTTAGTACCGCTGTGCATCATGGGCCACTTCACCACAGAGAGGCTCTTGAGGTACTTATCATATGCACAGATACAGTCATCCATCTAAAACCTAAACCAAATATCATTCAATAAGGTCAAATCACAAAAATGATGATGAATGTTTTGTCTGTGTAACTAACCCACTCACTTTGTATTTCAAGAACTTTCTCCATAGAGTGGACAGCATTGGCATTCGGTCTCTGTTGAAGTACCTCGTCAGGAATGGGGTCCAACTGAAACAAACAGAAAATAAGATCAATCTATCAATCAATGAAATAATCCATTAAGGCAAGGCAAGTTTATTTATATAGCACTTTTCAACACAAGGCAATTCAAAGTGCTTTACAAAAATGAAAGAGATTTAAAAAATGGCATTTAAAATCAGTCATTAAAAAGAAAAGCTAATAAAATAAACATTAAAAGAAAACAAAATACATGGATAAAAGTTACAGTGCAGTCTAAGATGTGAATAGTTCAATTAAAAGCAGCGACAAAAAGAAAAGTCTTCAGCCTGGATTAAGCACATTTTTGAGAATATTTAGGACACTGAAATGTAGCTGCTGCAGGGCGGACAACTTGGCACTGAACCTATACCCACTGGGAACATCAGCTAGGTGCATTAAATTACTAAAGGCTTTTCTTAGATACATTGAATACAGCCAGATAAGTGTTTTTCTGAATGTGACTGACAGGTGTTCAGAAACACTGCTCCAAATCACAGCAGGAGCCTCTCTTGAACTAACGTGATTCCCTCCTGGTTTAAAGGATCACTTTTGGATGTGGACCACAGCCCGGTGTTGAATCACCTCACACGAGAGGTGGGGAACAAGCTGGAGCTGCTGACACAATAGAAAGAGAGCCTGCAGATGCACACCTCCTCCCACTCAGCGAGAGCTTTCCTACTCTTTGACACAAACTACAATATGTGCTTTGTACTGTCTCCCACTCTAAGGAAACATACAAGCGTGCACAGATGCATACATGGGAACCTACTTGCTCAAACAAACACATGTATACTCATGCACACACTCAAACACACACACCTCAGAGAGCAAGTCTCTGAATCTCTCCAAGCCACAATTCAGAGGAAACAGGGCTATTCCCAAATGTGCCTTTCCAACCCGGAATGATTCAATTTCCCCATTGGCCGACTGCACAGAGGACACTTTCTCATCCCATTTTGTCAAACGGGCCCAATCAGATCAACATTCAAAACACAGACGACAAGCACCCTTTTTTTGGGACTAAAGGCCCAACTGAGTAACATTTAGAGAGATACACGGATTGTAAGAAAAAAGGTTTTGGCAAGAGCATTGGGAGTAGGATGCCAAAGAGAAAAGAAAAAAGTAATCGTCGGTCGGTCTCGCTTAGCAAAGGCTGGAAGTTTCCTTAAATTAAAATAAATAGTGTGTGGGAGGGGTCAGCGGGGGCCAAGGGAAGAGGCAGTCTGGGGAGAGGGATACTTTAATCCTGCTGTGGCACGACAGGCTACATAAGGCACACAGGAACGTACAGAGGTGCGTGCACACAGACATATATTTACATTGGGTTATTTGCTCTTTGGCAACAGAGGCAAACATTTCCATCAAGTGTCATAATTGCTAGAAGGACATGTTGCATGGAGGTGCATATTTAGTTTTGTGACTGTACATCAAACTCTCTAAGCTCAATAGTTTATCCTTGCAACTATCACTTAAACCAAACTTTCCTACACATTGCTAGAGTTTTAAGCTGCTCTCAAATGCTGTTTGTTAACAGTAAATATGGTACGTTAGCCCTGACAAAGGGCCTTCTGGCTATAACATGGGATTAACCACAACAAGATAAGTCAGATAAGTCAGACATATTTGTATATGCTATGCAGAAACAATAAAGTTGGAAAGACACCTGCCTGGTAGCCATTTGTCTATTCTATTGGTTTTAAGCATTCCGTTTGATGATCCACTCCCTCTATAAAGAACTGGAAGCGCACAGAGAATTGTCCAATTAGACTTTTCAGTGTTACGGCCCGTCTACACTACAGGCGTCAAAAAATGCTTTCAACGCTTCGCCCATTCATTTGAATGGGGTGACGTAGGATATTTTCAAACTTCGCCGGGTAGCATGGCAAGGCGTTGCAAGCATCGCGAGCGTCTATCGGCGATGCTTGCTCGAAGCTGGCGTCAGCCAATGAAATCCCGTTTATGCAAATCTGCCAGTACAAGCGCTAGCCAATCAAACCGCTGCTGGGAGAGACTACGCAGGTCATTTCCTCATATTAAAAAAAATGGAGGGAAAATTCATTATAGCGGTAGTGAATCACCCGGTGCTGTATGATCAGTCTCTGTTCATCTACCGGGATACAAACCGGAGGAGCGAGGCATGGAGGGAGGTGGCAGAGACAGTGGGTGAAACTGGTAGGTTTTCTCCTGTTTGGGGATTTTATATCCAGTTTACTTCGTTTTAACATTGCTATTGCTTTGTATGTCGGGGGCGGGAGATTCATGTGATTGGTTGTTGGTCGCGTTGCTCGCAAAAAATCGTCAAGCCTCAGACACGCCCAGCTTCAAGCTTTTTCGACGCCTGTAGTGTAGACGGGCCGTTAGTCTGTGTGCGGCATGACAAAAGTGCGGAGCCTCCAGGCAATAAAAGGCAAGTTCCAGCAAGAGTTGTCAGAAGATGTTGACCAAGTCAATATTTGCAAGCACTCACTGCTGATGAATTACCTTCTCAAGTGGATGATATAGTTCTAGTGTTTACTAACTAGGCCATTGGAAAGAATCACCCCCACACCAAGGCAACCACTTGAGTTGTTTTGGTCTGAGTGAGAAGAGCAACACTCAAGTACAAGTGGGAGCTGCCCAGAGCTGTCAGCTATGGAGATCACCTTCTAGAAACCAAAGAGGTTCAGCCAGTCCGGATTACTTCGATTGTGGCCCAGGGGGGAGAGAGCAGTACTTCTTCATCACTAGCATCCTGCAATCTCCCTGCCACTCTGGGGACCCAAACCATCAATCTTTCTGTCGAAAACTTCAACCTTCAGGCAAAAGCCGCCAACTTCCCTCCATAACCTTAGCCACTCCCAGATCAGCCCTGCCCAGCCTATCCCAGCTCCCTGTCAAAGCAGGGTCAGGGGTTCTCTGGGGTTTTGTGGGGTTCACTTCAGAGCAAGGTTGGAGGGGCACAGCCTGTCAGCTTGATTGACAGCTGGGCCTCACGCTTATAAACTTTAATGGCTCTTGTCAGGGTACTCCAGGGGCCTCCACCTGGCAGGTATGACAACACACATTTGCACATAAACGCACAAGCACACATTTGTCTGCCACATCATCCATGGCGACATTTCTGTTTATTTGGGTTCGTGGTCATGGCTCTGCCTGGACTCCTGCATCTTCATTTAATCAGATGTTCTGCAGGCTTTCACAGAGAGGTTCCTTTGAAGGGAAAATTCACCACCTTTTATGTGGCTTTCCAATCAGTGTTGATGGTAAATGTAGTCGATTGAAGCAATAAATTCATCAGTTCGTGCTATATTAACAGAGAAAGCTGAGTTATCCTGAGTTGTGCTTGCAGTGCATACCAGGATGCATTGCACGCAAGCTACTGACACCCAGCGTAAAGTTCTACTTAAGACGGTAATAAAAAACGTGTAGTTCAAACCCAGTGTTAACCAAAAGGGGAACAGCTTTACCTCTTCACCTCACTCAACAATTCAGCTTACCTTTGCAATAATTGACAATAAAACTCACTTTATGCTCAGATAAAAACAAGCTAAGTTACCAGCCCTAGTCCTCAAGCGGTCGCTGTGTTGACTGATTTTTCTCAGTTCTCTGTGTGACAGAGCCGTCCAACGCACATGGTCTTAGCCAACACGGAAAACCACAAGCCAAGAGTGAGGAATGTACCCCGGTAAAAACATTCCACAGGGAGGCCAGAACCAAAAGAGTTGGAAGAGGAGGAAATCCACTTGTTTAGCAAAATGAGAGGTGCACAAGGCTTCCATTGTTTACTGTTGTGTCCATGTGCATATGTTGGCAGTCAATAAAACCGGTTGATTATGTTATGCTAACTGAACAAGGTAATGATGTGTTTTGTGTGCATTCGAAAAGGGGTGTACGTTGCCTTGTAGTCGGGGGGGCTTGGTGAAGAATAGTCAGGCCCTGAGGGGGACAGGTGAAGTCGAGCATCTTACTGTAACTGGAGTGTAAACACACCGAGTAACCTCATTGACAGCTGGTACCAATTAGCATATTAGCCTGTTGTTTATCAAATAATTGCTAACAACCGTGGTTCGAACCGGGCCAACATCTGTTTGCGAGCAATCATCAATTAGTTCTGAGTTCAGAGTTGACTGGTGTAGCTTCCAATGCATCATTCATGAGCTATTTAACTCAAAAGACTTCACGATTACGCACTACAGAGATGGGGGTGAATAAAAGAGCTTGTAAAGTCCATTCAGCAATTTTCATCCCTCTCTTTCCCAGCTAATTTGAGCTGCTTTCAAAGGAAACTTAATGCTCATTATAGCAAAGCATGTCTTAACCTGCCAATAAAAGCACAGATATATTTCTCACACCAGCAAGCAGTAAAACACTGGAAGTAAAAGCTACACAAGAGGTGAAGAGGGTATAAGGAACACCTTTAGGATGTTTTGGCACTAGTTTATGAAGGTTCCTAAAATCTGCCTTTTTAGAATGCCACGAAACCAATCCAGTATGTTCGTTTTACGAACCATTCATATTGCCATTCGTCCAAACTGGTAGAAAAACATCAAGACCTACTGGCATGTGCCTTATATTTTTCCGTACCTCATGGTAAAGCTACAGTACATGCTACAGTGATGACTTCCAGACAATACAAATCCCTCAGGCAGTTTGAAACTTTATAAACAAAAGCACAGCTGAGCAGCTAATCCAGCTGTGGTCCCATGCCTCAGCCTACTCATTCGCTCCATTCAGAGTGAGCCAACACACGCAGAAAACTAAAATATATCCTCTAGAAATAACTCCATCAGTGTGGACACATTCAAAAAGTCCAACATTCATTGGCCACCTGAATGCAATGCAAAACAACGATTGTTGTTGCTCAATCTGGTTGGTGAGGCTATTGCGCTGTTGCCATTTGCCATCTTAGGCCATTTGTCAGCAAATAAAAAAAACACAGAAAATCGTCAGTTGTTTTATCTCCCTCCAGCTCAGTCCCTCACTGACGTTTTCCAGCTACATTCCTAGTCCATTACAGAGACCTTTGCTGAGATTGTGATAAAAACATTTGCTTCCTGCCATTTTGATCTGATCAGGGACATTTTAACCTCTCTTTCTTTTGTTATCAGTTATCAAAGCTCAAACAAGTAAATGATCTGCCTTTGTTCAACCAGCTGAAATCACTTGCTGCCAAAAAGTCAAACGGAGCATGTCATGAGAACTCCATGTCTGTGGTTCAAGTCGACAACATCTACATTTGTGTTGTTCATCACTTTATCAAAGCCATCTTTAGCTAATGAGGCATGCTGTACAACTCTTACTTTAAGGCTTCTGTCATGATACCTTTCAATGTTTCCATTCCAGAAACCGAGACATCCTAGTATGGCACTTGAAGTTTACTGGAGTATAGGGTGGGTGTTCAATGTAAAGAATTATGTATTCTAAGAATTGTAGTTCTGAAAAAGAATGATCCTAAAAAGGATTGTATTCCTTTACACACTTTCACATCCTGCATATGTGCTGCTCTCAGTGCAGCTGCTTTATTACAATAGGTTCATCCCTTCCTTCTTCAAATGAGCCCTCCATCTCATTTTATTATCTGATCCCTAGCTGACCCTGCTCGAAGAGGTGTGAGGGTAACCATTTTCAGATTGTGTACCAGTCAGGGGGTGAGAGTTTGAGAGGGGTGTCCTGCAGAGCGGAGGCAATTGACAATCTCTGCCTCCTGCCTATTTTCGGCTCCCTATGGCACCCACCCATTGACCTCCTACCAAACCCCTGCAGAGGCCGGTACTCTGCAGGCTGTTGAAACCCAAGAAGCAAACCCCCTGATCCACTTCATTATTTCTGCAGCAGGGCTGTGCTGTGAGTAACGAGAGAGCGTCCTTCTAACTGGAAGTCCTGAGCACAAACCTCCGTGACAGCTAAAAGCATCCGCCCTGCCCGAGTGTCCTTGAATTCCTGAATCCTTACCAGCTGTAATGGCAATGTAACTCTGAATAACTTTGAGTCATCAGTGGGCAGGTAAACAGAGTTAAGTTATTAGATTAAGCCTCAAGTTCATGCATTTCCTCTCTCATGCAAAACTTCGCTTGAGCAGAGCTGTTCTTTCACAGGTTTGGCACGTCATAGTGCTTTTTCTCTGTCCAGTGTCACTTGGATCATCTGTCTGATCAATTTCTTCGTCTTGCACAACACGATGGACTGGTTGGTCTCAGTCACTGAGTTTTATTAATGTGATCCTCTTTATTGTTCTGTTTGTTTTGCACGCACTCCAAGATCCACATGGAACGCGGTCATGTCATTTTTTCTTGTCTTTTAACGATTCCAAGAACCCATTTATAGCTCTAGCTGTCTGCAGGACTGGAACAAGAGTTCTAGGAAGTCACAGATACCACCTTCAACAAGGCAGAAACTGATTCAGAGATAAACACATCCTGTTGCTAACTTTTCTTTCACATAAGCTTGATATGTTTGGAAGTTGGACATTTTTCATTGGATAGATCAAACAACTATTTTTTCTGTGCAATGGAAGGGCGAATGCATTCTGAATTTTTTAAGTGTAAACTTAATAAGCGCTAATGTTAGGCAATATTGAAACAAAGACAATAGCAAGACTATCAATCTTTAACCATACCGCAAAACTGTATTTTACGTTTCTACATCGATTCATCCTTACAGCTTATTATGATGAGCCAACAACAAGTCCCACTTTATGCTCTGTAAAGTGCTGTATGAACATAATGAGAAGCGTATACCCTGATGCATTAGTATAACTGTCCTGCATGTCTCACTGGGCATATGCTGATGGCTTTAGCAGGTACACCGATTCCCGGGACAACATTTTTACAGTTTTTTTTAAATAAATGAAAATAATGCAAGAGTGTCTTTCTGGATATTATTCAATCTTGATTTGAGGTGATTATTTGGAATTCTTGGTGTCAACTTGCTTTAATGGTTGAGCTACATATGGGGAAATATAGATCACCATTTGTTCTCTTTACTTTATTATTATTGCTCTAAGGCAGGGGTGTCAAACTCAAATACACAGTGGGCCAAAATAAAAAAATGGGTACTAGTCGAGGGCAGGACTGGTTCAATGTTTATTGCAAAACGTATTGAAATGAACTTATTGCACACATTAAACCTGGAACTAACTAAGCTTAAATGATTGCCTATAAAAACAACATTAAATAATCAGTTGCATTAATTTCTTATGGCTCTATCTGCAGATTTTCCGAAGTCATTTCTTATGATTACATTTTTCCACAGGCCAACAACAGCTTCAACAAAAATATTTCCCTCAAAGAAAAACCAAACATGCCCTGTTGTCGTGAGAGAAAAAGTACAGAAGGAAACATCCATGTAAACTCAGTGTGCTGCTCTGTGACGCTAGTTCAAGCCAGATACTTGGCATCTCATCTTGGGTGCAGGTTCATCAATGTTTGGGGTCAGGCTCTGAGCTGAGGAAACCCTCAGGATTGAGTGAAGGTGTGCGTGCAATATACCGGCGGGCCAGATCTAATAGTAATTAGAAATGATCCTGCGGGCCAAAATTAAATCTACCGCGGGCCGGATTTGGGCCTTGAGTTTGACATGTGTGCTCTAAGGTGTAATTAAAAGAAATGGTCGCTGATCATATCTGGGAATTTCGCATCCACCTTTAGCATTTAAATGAATTTGATAGACCCTAGCGACATGTGATGACTTTTTAAAGACAAAACGTGTAATCACAGCAAACTCACTGAGGATGCATAGAGTTCCAAGCCCTCAAGCCACAGCATCTATCCCACCACAGTTTCAGACACACTCAAGAAAAATAGCTTGGCAAGGTTAGAAAAAGCAAGGCGAGGTACAAAACAGCTTTCTCACAAAATACGCCACAAAATAAAAGTGCATTTTTTTGTCCAGTTTTAGTGTTAAGAGATCAAATGGTTTGTGGTCAAAATAGCAACAGATTACGAGTGGACTTTGGAGACACAAGTATGCACAAATCATTCTCACAAACTCTATTGCCCATGCCCTTAAGCTTCATCATCTTCATACGGTACCACAATTCAGTAGTGCTGAAAATATAAGCACTGAGATATCTTGGACCCATGATAATGGAGGGAGAAAAAGAGTCTGAGCAGCCTGTCCAAAAAAGCACTCCAGCCTCTTCATTAGCTGGAAGAAAAGAGTAGGCGTCTTTGAGGAGATGCTATTCTGTTTAGCGCCATGAATCACAGAGCGCCGTTGTTTGTTCTGTTCCATGGCCCAACCGACACAATTAACCTTCTGCCTGGAAATCCTTTGCCTCTGACGTGTTTGTGCGTGTGTCTGTCTTTGTGTAGCGTGTGTGTGTGTGTGTGTGTGTGTGTGTTGCGCTGACTTCCTCTCTGAGTGGAAGAGATGGTTTTGGCCCATGTAAAAGAGTACTGTTTTCTGAGATATCTAGGTAACAAGTCCATCAAATCCTTATCCTGAACCCTTAATGTGTTTGGCGGTTAAAGACATTTTCGTTGCCATCTTGTTCATTCAGTTCTAGCGTAAGAATGAATGTGAAACATTTTAATTAGAATTGTATGCTCACTCAATGACTTGCTTCTGGAAATGTAGCCGGAAATAAAAATCAGAAGCAAGTTGAGTGACCTAAACATTTCACGCTGACAAGACAAATAAACCAGATGCTCTTCATCTGCTTGAAGCCCTGCATGTACACTTCAAAGCAATCAAACATAAAACTACACTGATGTGGCTGTTAATATTGCTTATTGATTCATTCATTTGAACTGACTTTTAAAACCACAACATTTCCTTGCATATCTTATAGCAGTAATTGTAAATCTAAATAATTTACAGTTTCAGGGAAACCACCCACATTACAAAAGTAATATGCCTTTTTACGCAGCAGGGATTAACCAGGCACTACATTTTTATGTTTGGAGTATTCACATCATAAACTTCAGTCCATATTTGATCTCATATGTATGTATTTGTTGAGTCTTAGTGCCTTGCTTTGGGTTATTTTGATAGAAATCTATCTCTCCTCCTCTCGGCTTTCATCTTACCTCATTGCCAAGCAGGGCAGAGACGCAGGCTTCGGAGGCATCACATATGGCTGTGAGGTCGTGACCCCCCTCCAGGGCAAGCACCAAGCGACCGCCTGCCAGAGCCATCAGCTGCCTGGTCAGGTAGCCGAAGCCTGGATGCACAGGAAATGACAGCAAATAGAGGGCAAGGAAAGAAAGGGAGGGAGAATGAATACTGCTGTTCAAGCTCTAACTTCCTTTTTGGATATTGATCAAAGAAAAAAAGAGAAATAGGAGGCTTGAGAAAAGGAGTGACTGCATCAGAGAGAGGAAGAGAGTGAACCATGGATTTACTTGGGGCCAAAACACAAACTATAATATGAGCCAGGTTTAATTTTAATAAACGCGGCTTTGCATTTAGGCTTGGTCGCAGTCTTTGATCTTTTTTCTTTCAGGAGGAGGGGAGCTTTGATATATGCATTGGGACATACTTTTTTCTCCCCTAAATTCTCCCCATATCCCCTTTTCCTGCAATCCTCTCTAACCACCCATATCACCCCCTTAACTACCAAGACCCCTGCTCTTATTTGAGATTTTAGACAAGCTCTTTGCTTGCATGCCAAGGTCTCAATCTGCAAGTCAGAAGGAACAAATAAACACAGGGGCTTGTGTTTGTGCATCTGTCTGTTAAATTGCACAGGCAAAGTGATATTAACGACATGTGTGAGACTCATGCATTAACATTTGTGTGCAAGTTATTTTAGCAAATGTGTATGTATGGCTTAGTAAACAGAGAATGATTAACAGGGTAACTGTGGTGAGCACTTACATTTGGCTGTGAGTTTGTATCCTCCCAGGGGTGGAGCGTGTCCGTCGACCGCATCAAAGCCTGAAGATACCAGAACCACGTCTGGGGCAAACTCGTTGGCAATCGGCATAACCACCGTCCTAGAGAAAAACAATGTCAACAAAATAATATATCGTATAAGAGAGTTCGTATAAGCCAGGGGTTTTCAAAGTGTGGGAAGGTGAGCCTCCCCTCAGAGAACATAAGAACAGCCGCGCCCCCCCCCCCCTCCCAATTATTATTGCTATTTTTATTATTATTAGGGCGCTTTCACACTGCGGTACTTTTCCCACAAAGGTTCATGTGAACTCTTTTATCGCGTTCACACCAAAAAGAGCCGGTACTAAAATTAGTTCATGTGAACCTTTGTACCCCCACTTTCGAACGGCTCTTTTGTGAGAAAAGAGCTACATTTCTGATTGGCTGGAAGGATTGCAAACCACGCCCCGTAAAACTCCCAAAAAGTTTTGTGAAGCCGCCATTTTATTATCCTCGCATTAGCATTATTAGCATTAGCATTAACCCAGCGCAGAAACGCAGAGAGACTAACTTAAGGCAACACAAAATAAAACATGGGAGTGGTGGAGATGAGTAGGTGTCGGCGTTCTGGCGATTTACTCGGAGGGCTTCAGTAGAAGCTGCTGGGAGTCCCAGCAGCTTCTACTGAAGCCAGTCCCTAACTCCGGGGACTTCCGGCCGGGGACTTTGGGCGGCAGTATACGCCGTGAAGTGGTTTGCGACCTGCCAGTAAACCCAAAGCAGAAGAAGAACAAGTGACGTCAGCGGCTTCATTTGCCTAATCCACCCCCAGGGACTTTTTCCAGTGTGAACGCGATCTGTACTTAGTTCATGAGAACTAAAGAGTTCTCATGAACTAAGTTCACATGAACCTTTGTGGGAAAAGTACCGCAGTGTGAAAGCGCCTATTGTTGTTGTTGCTATAATGCAATGAGCACGCCATTTGAAATTACTCCGACTGTTTCTCTCTTCTTGTCTCGTCTCTGTGTGTGTGTTTGAATCTATCACTGACAGCACCGATTTGATTGGCTGAGTAGCGTCACCTCCTTAAAACATTAAACAATAACTTTTTTAAACCTTTTTCAACATTAACATTAACATTTTCAACATCGTGGATAAATCCTTATATGCTCCCGGCAACACACTGAACGTCAACTTTGCCTCCTTATTACACTCACCTCTACTTTAGTGGGTACGATGAGTTTGCGTTAGGGGTCGACCGATATATCGGGGACGATATTCCGGGGCCGATATTCCGCATTTGACCGATTATCGGTATCGGCCTTTTTTTTATCAAATTGCCGATAAAACTTTGGCTCTGATGCGGCTGTTTCTCTGAGATGGGTCTGGCTGCAGACCGCAGCAAGGAGGCGGATCGTATAGGGGCGGATCGTATAGGGGCGTTTCCTAACTTTTTGTATCCAATAGAATAATGACACTCAGCAGAAATACATACTGTCGGTGACAGTAATGCAATTTAAGGGATTCCAGCTGCTTTTATAAATCCTCGCAGAATAAGTCATTCGTTCTTTCACGATTGCCAAACAACAAGTTGAAACAGCGGTAATAGTATTTTCCAGAGATGCATGTTTATATTTATTGTAATGTCATTTTTCTTAACACACAATTGTCTCGTTATCAAAGTACAACATCGACTGTCCAACCTCGTTAAGCGTTAATAAAGTAAATAATAGTTGTATGTGGTAAAAATGTTTGTGGTATTAAATGCTAACTTAGCATGATGCTATAAACACGTTGGCCTATAGTCCCGTTTGCAACCAGGCCTACTCTACTGTTGTAATAACGTTAAGCTTAGATAGGTTAATAGATTATCAGGCTCGGTAACAATACTGATTTGTGTTACCAAAGCTGATCATCTAATTGACCTAAGGTTAGCGTATATGCTGTGATGCTAACCAGCACTTAGCATGATGCTAGTGTACTGTTGTATTATCTTGGAAATATAAGTAGGCCTGCCCTACATACTGTAACTTAATCAAATAATATGGTATGGATTCGGATAGACAACATGGCTAGCTTGGTTGGTTGAATTGAGTAATAAGATGTGCGGTACTGATTAAGGTTGTAACTGTAACAGTTTGTAACTACTAGTTGTAATGAACCAGACGAGAGACGGACGCATCCTTTCAGTAAATGTCGGCTGCTAATCAATATGTAAAAATAACACTTCGGATGTGTCTTCTATAATTATGTAACATTAGTTATGGCATCATCAGAAAAGATGAGCTGGCAGGATTCTGCAGCATTGACTGTTTCTATGATGCTGGAGGCACCTTCCAAGAATAAAATGTTTGTTTAATAAAGACTTTCCTCTTTGTATGTACTGTATATATTTTTTATTTTTTTATTAATCTTACCACCAGACACAACATGAACAAATGAATGATACACATCAGGACAGTAACTTAAACTTCAGTATTTTAGGTGTACAGAAACCTCTACTCATGTTGTTAAATGATATACAGCAATATCTTCCATAAAACGTAGTTGATTGATTTGAATAATAATTACTACCACTGCACAAACAGTGAAAAATGATATGCCTACAATTGATGAATTTGTCTTCTCTGTGGGTTGTATACTCATCATTCTTTATGCAAATGAATTATAATTATTATTTTTCAAAGTTCGTTTATGATTCATTCAAAGCATTAAAATAAATGAGAAACAGAGAGCGTCATATACCTTTAAGAAATACGTGGGGGCGGGGTTCATAACCCTTTAGGAAACGCCCCTATACGATCCGCCCCTATACGATCCGCCTCCTTGCTGCGGTCTGCAGCCAGACTCTATTGGTTTCTCTGGCTGCAGTCACCACTCTGTGTACACGAGCAATGTCCCGCCCACAGCGCTATCTGATAGGCTATTACTGAAGATTTTCCGGGCGGGAGACAGCCAGAGAGGCGGGACCTTCTCAGATTACAGGCAGGTGCGAAAGAACGCAGACACAGACTGAAGCAAGCAGCAGCGCTGAGCGGCAGAGCCATACATGTGTTAAACCAAAGTTCAATAAACATCCCAATCCCCTATGCTGAAGTTGCAAAAACACCACGATCTTATGATCCAATTCTATCAGTTTCCCAGTTACACAGGGACGCGGGAAGTCAGTCAGAGTTGGGGGTGCGTGAAGCGTCTCGCAGCGGAGTAACTGTGGGGGGGGGGGGCTGCGAGTGGAGCCTTGCAGTTTTTCAGGTTGATATGTGAAGCTCATTAGCTAGCCAACATGTATCTAGCAAATGTTTAGCAAAATATTAGAAGTGAGGCTAATAGACTAACGTTAGGTCTACTGTAATAGCCTCACTTTTAATAGTTTGCAAAACATTAGCTAGCACTAGTGTTTTGCAGTTGCTAGCAGTTTATTGGGATTTTATGCTAGATAGACAGATATAATAAATTAAGCATTATTGTTAGTTAAGCATGTCAGCCTGCAGCCCCACTTCTTGTCTCTCTCTAACTCATTGCAGATGACTGCACTAAAGAAAAGGGCACAGAGAGGAAACCAGTTGTAAGATGTTTAAAAGTTCATTAAACATAATATATGCTTAAATGCATTTCAAAGAAGTTGTGTTGAGTTGTGTTGGAGTTTGTGTTATTCTACATTTTGACACCAAGATTTTCTGATTTGACTGCAAATGTATATCGGTTCCAAATATCGGTTATCGGTCTCCTTGATTACTAATAATCGGTATCGGTCTTGAAAAAGCCATATCGGTCGATCCCTAGTTTGCGTCTTTGATGCGCACAAGCGGATGATGCGGTGATCAGAGTCCTGCATCAGGTCGGGTACCCCCGAGTAAAACAAAGAAGATGCGGGTCGGGTCGCGGGTGTTGCATAATAAATATATTTAAACAATGATAATGTAATTTAATGTTTAAAGATACAAGCGGCCTAGATGGGTTTTCTCCGCAGGGTGGCTGGTGTCTCCCTTAGGGATAAGGTGAGAAGTTCGGTCATCCGGGAGGGACTCGGAGTTGAGCCGCTCCTCCTTCGCGTCGAAAGGAGCCAGTTGAGGTGGTTCGGGCACCTAGTTAGGATGCCACCTAGGCGCCTCCCTAGGGAGGTATTCCAGGCACGTCCAGCTGGGAAGAGACCAAGGGGTAGACCTAGGACCAGGTGGAGGGATTATATCTCTTCGCTGGCCTGGGAGCGCCTTGGGATCCCCCAGTCAGAGCTGGTTGATGTGGCCAGGGAAAAGAAAGTTTGGGGCTCTCTGCTGGAACTGCTACCCCCGCGACCCGACCACGGATAAGCGGGAGAAGATGGATGGATGGATGTTTAAAGATTCCTCAGACCTCTCCCCCGCGGGACCGCGCATTACCTCTGCACCGCATCAATCTGCTGCTGAGCGCGCCACATTCTAAATGGCTGAGGTGAAGCTCTCTAGCGGAGAATACCAACTCTTCCTCAAGAGCAAAATCCAACGTCTGGGAGGCTTTTGGTGTCATCCTAGATGGAGGAAAATAACCAACATCCCACGCTTTTTGAGCCAAATACGCAACTGTGTGTGTTAATTGCATGTTTTCACTGCTCGTAGGATATGCGGGTTCGGGTCGGTTTGCGGATCTTGTGCCGACGGGTCGGGTCGGTTTGCGGAACTAATTGGCAATATGTGCGGGTGGCGGGTTCGGTATTACACGTCGCAGGAGGGGTGCGGGTCTTGAAAATCAAACGTAAAACGGGGCCCTATTATGACAATTCAGGTACAGATTAGCATTTTGTGCCTCTACTCTGAAATAATTAAACGCTTTAATGTTCAAAAAGGTCTTTATTTTTGTCATACTTCCTGTGCTGCAGCACCTCTTTTCACCCACTGTCTGAAACAAGAGCCCAGTTTGCTCTGTTTGGTTAGCTGGCTGGCTCTGTTGTGATTGGTCAACCAATTAGTGAAGTCCGGCTCATTAGCCTATCACGTACAATGTGTTGGAGAACTAGACAATAGAAGCGTGGGTGAAACATGGTGTTGGAGAGAAACTCCCTCTGGAGGGAACTCTGGGTTTTAGTTATTCCAGATTATTTACATGCACAAAAACCTGTATAACGCACAACAGGTGAGGGATAACA